GGGGGGCGGCCGGTGGGGGGTTGAGGCAGTGGGGGGGGGTGTCAGGGACCCCTGCCCCATCCTGACAGCCCTCCCCGTGCCGCAGGCTCTTCCAGCGACGAGGAGGAGGATGACCCCGAGGCGGTGATGGTGGAGTTTGATGACGGGGACACGGGGCACATCGCCGTCTCCAACATCCGCCTCCTGCCCCCCGACTTCAAGATCCAGTGTGAGTGGGTCGGGGTAGGGGAGGGTCACGGGCAAGGGGTGGGCTATGGGGGGGGGGACAGTGGGGCTGGATCTGACCCCACTCTCTGCCCGCAGGCACCGAGCCGTCCCCCGCGCTGCTGGTCTCCAGCTCCTGCCGGCGAACAAAGCGGTCCTGCAGCGACGTGCCCCCTCCCAGCGAGCTGCCCCCCAGCCTCTGCCCCGACCGCCACGACGGCCCCGAGCCCCCCAAGAACTCGGGCAAGAAAGCGGCCAGCAAGGAGAAAAGTGGTACGGGGCGGGGGGCTGCCACCCACGGACCCCCTTCCCTTGGGGTGCCCGAGGGAGGCGGCACCGGCAGCGCTGGTGTGAGGGATGGCGGGAGGCAGGGAAGGGTGCTGGGATGAGGGGAAGGGTGCTGGGATTCAGGGATGGGTGCTGGGATGCAGGGAATGATGCTGGGATGCAGGGATGGGTGCTGGGAAGCAGGAAAGGGCACTGGGATGGGTGCTGGGATGAGGGGAAGGATGTGGGGATGCAGGGAAGGATGTTGGGATGCCAGGATGGCTGCTGGGATACACAGTAAGATGCTGGGATGCAGAGAAGGATGCTGGGATGCAAGGATGGGTGCTGGATGGCAGGAAAGGGTGCTGGGATGGGTGCTGGGATGAGGGGAAGGACGCTGGGATGCAGGGAAGGATGTTGGGATGCAGGAAAGGATGTTGGGATGCAGGAAAGGATGCTGGGATGAGGAGAAGGATGCTGGGATGCAGAAAAGGGTGCTGGGATACACAGAAAGATGCTGGGATGCAGGGAAGGATGTTGGGATGAAGGAAAGGGTGCTGGGATGAGGAGAAGGATGCTGGGATGCAGGGAAGGATGTTGAGATGCAGGGATGGGTGCTGGGATGCAGGGAATGATGCTGGGATGCAGGAAAGGATGCTGGGATGCGGGAAATGGTGCTGGGATGCGGGAAAGGGTGCTGGGATGCAGACATGGGGGAGGATAGACAGGGATGCAGGCAGGGATGCAGGCAGGGAGAAGGGATGTGGGGAAAGCTGGGATGCAGGGGGTTGGGAGTGGGGCAGGATGCAGGGAAGGCTGTGGGTCCAGGGACAGAGGAAGACGGTGGCACAGGGGGACTGGAGATCAGGCTGCAGGGAAGGATGTGCAGGGACAGGGATGGTCCCGGAGCATCCCTCCTTCCCTCTGTCCATCTGTCCGTCCTCCCTCCTGACCCCCCCGTCTCCCTCCAGGCAAAGCTGGGGAGGTGCTGTCGGGCGGCAAAGCGCCGGTGCTGAGTGACCCCTTCCTGGGCCGGCGCGGGGGTCCCCTGCTGAGCTGGTCGGCGGTGGCCCAGACGAAGCGGAAGGCGGCCAGCAAGGGCACGGCCGTCCTGCAGAACCTCTTCCAGGTCAACGGCAGCGCCAAGAAGCTGCGGGCCGCCAAAGAGGCCATCTTCCCCGTCCACCACCACCACCACCACCACCACCTCGCCGCCCCCGTCTTCGGCAACGGTTTCGGGGCCGACTCCTTCAGCCGCATCGCCAGCTCTTACGCCTCCTTCGGGGCCGGGGCCGGGCTGGTGCTACCGGCTGCCCAGAAACTCCTACGCTCCAAAAAAGCGGAGCGGCTGGAGGCAGAGCTGGGCAAAAGCGGGCGGCGGAAGGCGGGCAGCGAGTACCTGGTCAAGCTGGACCACGAAGGGGTGACGTCCCCCAAGAACAAGAACTGCAAAGCCCTGCTGCTGGCGGAGAAGGACTTTGGGGCCAAGCTGGAGCGGCCGCTTGCCAGCCACGGTTATGCCCACGCGGCGCTGGCTGGCAAGGATAGGAAGGGACGGGCGCCCGTGCACCAGCTGCCCGTGGGGCTGGCGCTGCGGAAATACTCGGGCCAGGCCGAGTTCACCCTGAACTGCGACAGCGACTGCCACAGCTCCTACTCGGACATGGATGAGGACGAGGAGGCGGGCGGGCTGGGGGCCGACGTGCCCTCCCGCTTTATGACCCGTCTCTCGGTTTCCTCCTCTTCCTCGGGCTCTTCCACCTCCTCCAGTTCCGGCTCCATCTCCACCTCCAGCCTCTGCTCCTCCGACAACGAGGATTCCTCCTACAGCTCCGAGGACGAGGACTCCACGCTGCTGCTCCAGACCTGCCTCTCCCACCCGGTGCCGGCGTTGTTGGCGCAGCCGGATGCCCTGCGCTCCAAGAGCGGGGCTCCCCAGCGCTGCTTCCTCACCAAGGCCGCCGCCGCCGGCCCCAAGGCCAAGCTCAAGCGCAAGGAGGCCCTCAGCTTCTCCAAAGCCAAAGAGTTCTCCCGGAGGCAGCGCCTGCCCTCGGTGGAAAACCGGCCAAAGATCTCCGCCTTCCTGCCCGCGCGCCAGCTCTGGAGGTGGTCGGGGAACCCCACGCAGGTATGGCAGCCACCAACACCCGCTGTGGGCACCCACTGCTCGGGGGGGAAGGAAGGGGGTATGGTCCTGGGGCAGGGGGCACAGGTGGAGGGGTGCAGGGGCATGGCAGGGGTGCACAGGACAGGGGGTGTGGGTGCAGGTGCATGGGGTGGGATGGGGTGCAGGGTGCATGCAACGGGGTGCATGGTTGCAGGGTGCGTGGTAGAATGCGTGGGTGCAGGTGGATGGGTGTACAGCAGGGTGCATGGGTGCAATGCAGGGTGCAGGGTGCATCAACATGAATGCATGGGTGCATGGTAGAATGCGTGGGTGCAGG